TCAAGAGGAATAAGGAGGTCCTACTCCAGAGGAATAAGGAGGTCCTACTCCAGAGGAATAAGGAGGTCCTACTCCAGAGGAATAAGGAGGTCCTACTCCAGAGGAATAAGGAGGTCCTATTCCAGAGGAATAAGGAGGTCCTACTCCAAAGGAATAAGGAGGTCCTCCTCCTTATGCTCCTCAGACGGAACTGACAGTGAGACCAAATAAACCCACCTTGAGTTTTTCCACCCACAGGAAGTCCGAGCCGTCCACAGGTAGGTAGACGCACTGCTTGCTGGGAGATTTGTGGCGACAGAGGAAAAGGACAGAGCCATAAAAGGACTTCCTGAGTGCTATCAGGGTCAGGTTGGCCTCAGAGAAGACCGCCTCCCACTCAGCCTGGAGAGGAAAAAAGGAAGCAGTTTGTCATCGCCATGGAAACCAGAAGTAGTTCTCTAGATAGCTTCAGTGGTTCACCTCTACTCACTAGTTTTATTACCTGGTCACAGCTCATTACTAGGAGCTGATTTCACGGCAGCCATGTTAATAATAAGCAGCACCAGGAGATAAAAACATCTTACAACTAGCTTAGCTTAGAACTAGCTTAGCTTAGCCTTAGCTTAGAACTAGCTTAGCTTAGCATTACCTTAGAACTAGTCAGCGGTTGAAGCTAATCTCTGAACATAATCTGGATTATTCAGAAATGATCTTTTCACACAAACCTGTGTGAGCAGGCCACATCCAGCACTGCCCTGGGGGCTGCTGGTGAGGACGGCCACCATCTCTCCCAGAGTCTGGCCCTTTAGCAAGGTGTGGAGAAGAACAAATCCCTGCTCTTTGGCCCCGGAGGCCAGGTTAGCCACCAGCTGTCTGGGGTCGGTCCTCAGGGCACCCCAAGCATGGTTACACACCACCAGGTCTGCTCCTGCAGCCATCCTTCCAGGAGCTGGCTCTTTCAGAGGGTCCCACTGAGCTGCAGCCGCTGCCAGCTCCTCCAGCTTGGCTTCATGGGGGGACAGAAGATCCAGGTGTGTGGCTGTGGCAGTGTAGTCCACATCCAGCATTGGCTGAATGTTCAGGAGGGGAACCACACGAGTGAAAAGCTGGCCATCATCAGCCAGAGCCTGGCAGCAGGTAGAGAGAGAACAGGTTATGGAAACATGCATCACAGAACGCTTTGCTTATTTCCAAATCATCCCACAGACTACCTCCAGGACTCTGATCTTCCCTGGGGTACAGTTCTCAGTGCAAATGTCCAGGCAGTGTCGAAGGCCTGGATCGTCCAGCAGAGCGTGCAGCAGAGCGTCCTGCAGCAGACACGCTCGCTCCTTAACTACCACCTGCTCCAGCTCAGACTGAAGGTTCCCGTTCAGCTGCAGTCCACCCAGAAGCCTCAGCAGCCGCGGCAAACCAGGCTGAGGTGCTTCCTGGTCGGGGAGAGAATCAGCCTGGTCCCCTGCTGACCCAGGATCAGGCAGCTTGATGCCATGAGGAGCCAACTTCAGCTGCAGTTTGTGAATTAAAGCTGCAGAGAAGATGCAGAAAGTAAAACGTCAAGATGATCAATAGAGAAGGTGGATGAAAAATTTCCTTTTTTACAACAGATTTTGATGTTTAGGGAAAAAAAAAACTTTGTTCTGGAAATAAAGGTACATAAACTCTGAGCAGATCAATCAGTGGCGATAATAACCTTCAGCAGATGCTGCTTAAAGCCTTCTGAGGAGGAGCAGCGACCTTTGCTCTGCAGCTCTGAGGAGGTTTCTGGACTGAATGATACCTGCATGTTTCTGTGGCTCCTCCTGCTTGCTCACTTAACCTTTTTACACGCATCATGGAGCCGCCATGTTCTGGTCAGCTCTGGTTTTAAACACATTCGTGTTTGGAGGCAGTGGGATCAGCCATGAGTGCTAGCGATGCTATCTGCTAGCTGTTGCTAACTCAGGAAAGGGAGGAAGGGCTGATGATCCAGCTCAGATCATGAGATCATCATCTCCAGCCAGAGAACCAGCTGTCAATCAATCCGTGAGGAGATGATGGAGTCTGACATTGATAGATGCTGTGTTTTTTCTGTGATTGGTCTGTTGGAACAGATGCACCTTTGCAGGGCTGCAGATGCCACCAGAAACAAGGCTTTCTTTTGATGTTTCTAATTCATTTTATTTTTAAATCTGTTTTACATGCAGATTTCTACATTTTTCGTTGTGAAGTGAGAACCTGCTTGCTTTGCTGGTGACACTTTCTTTCCTTCATCAGCCATGGCATCTCACTAAGGAGCAACGATTCTTACCTTTGCAGAGGTGCAGCTGCTCAGTGAGGCTCTGATTGGTTGCCAGGCACTCTGTCATCACATGAGGAACGAACACAAACTCCTCCAGAGTGGGGGGGTTCTGCTGCTGCTGCCTGCGGGGGGCCACCGTGGCATGTAGACCAGAGATCAGTACTCCACCGGCAACGATGCTGTCCAGGCAGCGGCTCACCTGGACATCAACAGCTGTGGCAACAAAGAGGAAAACTGAGCTGAAAACAAACTACAGGAACATTCCATTGATTCTCTAACAAAAGATTTAATGTGATGCAAACTCAGGCTTCTGCTCATTAGTTACAGCCTCCATCTTAAATCTGAGGAGGAAATTAATCTATGGACAGAGCAGCAGTCCTGATAAATCCCATTCAGTCTTTTCTTTGCCGCTTCCATCGACCTGACCTCCGTTCTGTCAGGCTCCGCCCACAGCTTGAAAAAACAGTTGACTGATTAAATGTTTTTCCTTTTATTTCTATACCAAACCACATTCATTTATAAAGCATGTTCTACATCCAACAGACGCAAAGTGCTTTACACAATCAAAAAATACAATTAGTCATAAAATACAATTAGTCATAAAATACAATTAGTCAATCATCAAATAATAAATAGAGTGGTATATCAAAGCAGTAATGAAATAAAGGAAACACAGTAAGACACTTAACATCTACCAAACCCTAACCCATCTCCCTCTGGGGTAGAGGTCGCCGGGAGAACGGGACCCTCTGGGGTAGAGGTCGCCGGGAGAACGGGACCCTCTGGGGTAGAGGTCGCCGGGAGAACGGGACCCTCTCGGGTAGAGGTCGCCGGGAGAACGGGACCCTCTCGGGTAGAGGTCGCCGGGAGAACGGGACCCTCTCGGGTAGAGGTCGCCGGGAGAATGGAACCCTCTCAGGTAGAGGTCGCCGGGAGAACGGGGCCCTCTGGGGTAGAGGTCGCCGGGAGAACGGGACCCTCTGGGGTAGAGGTCGCCGTGAGAACGGGTCGAGAACAAGAACGGGTCAAGAACGAGGAATATCTGTGTTATAGTGGACGGAACCTTTGGCCCTCAGAAGTTACTCATTGCACTTGGTTCTATAGTCCATCATCAGGAACCCTGAGGTATGAGAAGCTGTAAATATGGGGTATCTGGGGGCTCTCCATATCCTCACAGGCCCAAAGCATAGGCTGTGTTTAGAACCATTGGGGCTGGCTCCTCCCACTGACTCTGTTCTTTAGTTCATGGACAGGACACATCATATTTCATCAATAAAACTTATACAATTCATCAATAAAACTGATACAATTCATCAATAAAACTGATACAATTCATCAATAAAACTGATATATATGATTAACTAACACTACAACTCCCAAAGACAATCAATTTGATGGGTGACATTTTACCCAATGGAATGCAAGGGTAGTGATGACGTCATCAACTGAAATGGTTCTAGTGTGCCATAAAAACCCACTGTGGATATGTAAACCTTAAAACAGGTCTAACAGATATATTTGAAGGCTGTGTTATATGCCATTATTATTTGTAGTCTAAATTTGCATTAAAAATAAATCTGTAAACACAGTCACCTTCAAATTGGAGCTAGAATACGTTCTAATCATCTGATCCGACACATCCAGGCCGCCCTGTGTGATTATAGTAGACCAGGGTCTCTGGTTTGGCTTTGGGCTGCTGAGTGAACCGGCTGAGGCGTGAGCAGACCCATCACTATGTCTGATGCGTCACCGATAAGTCTGCGTTGATCATCCTCGGACTCACTGTCAGAATCTGAACCGCTTCCTACCCAGTCCTCCTCATCAGTCTCTCTCCCTCTCCACCTGAATAACTATCATCAATATTTGGAAGTATTTCTAAAGCCTGTTTCGTTCTTAGATTTCTTCTCAAAGTCAAATATTTCCAGCTAGAATGAACGGTACCTACCATCAATCAACTGCGGGAGGAATTTACAATGCAGCTAATAGAGCTGTCAAAATGATGGCTGTGGGAGAGGTAAAATTAACCAGATTTATTTTTCATGTTATTTTATTAAAAATTATAGGTGAAAATGAAGGAAATATAAAAAGTCAGATTCATGTAAATTAAGTTCTTTCCCTTTAAAATCTCCTCAAACTGACAGCCTTGTTAAAGGGATAAATATCAAAGGCGTTTAGTTTCAGTAACTCCACCATCACTAAATAAAGCTGTTTTAGACGCAGTCAGCTTCACCCACCTCGCCTTCCTCCAGCGTACTCGCACACTTTATCCACATGGATGGCAGGATCAATGCACACAGAGCGGATTCTGGTTGGCAAACGCAAACTGCGACCAGGTAGGCCGACCACCATCATCTGCAGCATAGTGTCTAGAAAGGTCACCCAGTTTCCCGTCCACTGCAGCTTCCCACTGTCTCCTAGAAACAGAGAGATTAGAGAGGCCAGTCAGCAAACACCATAGACATAGGTGGGCAGGCCCACCTTGCAGGCAGAGACCTTATTACATGGAATGTAATATATATACACTGCTCAAAAAAATTAAAGGAACACTTTGGCTACATTCACACTGCAGGCCTTGATGCTCAATTCCGATTTTTTTTTGTGAAATTCAATTTTGTTTGCATTGCCGTTCATACAACGCAAGTGTCCCGCATCCGCAGTAGAGGACGCAATGACGTCACAGGCCAGCGTACTCTATGTTTACAGAAGTAAACATGGACGGTAGTGACGGCGCGCATCTAGCGGTCTTTTCCAACCATAAAATCTCAATCTTTTCAATATGGTTAAACATAAAACAAGACACACAATAGTGACCTTTGTCAGGTATTAATGGCGTTCAGGTCGGATGAATGCGACCTGGCCGTTCAGACACAGGTCGCATTTGAAACGATCAGATTCTTATCGGATTCAGGACCACAGAGCCAAGTGGCCTTGGTCGGATTGGAAAAAAATCGGATCTGTGTTGTTAAAACAGCCATGAAAAGATCAGATCCAGGTCGCATATGGGCCAAAAAATCGGATTTGGATCCCTTCAGGCTGCAGTGTGAATGCAGCCTTTGAAAACACATCAGATCTCAATGGGGAAAAAAATCCTGCTCTTTCTTTATCCTGATATGGACTGGGTGATGTGTTAGGAACAAAAGGATGTCACATCATTTGATGGGAATGAAAATTATCAACCTACAGAGGGCTGAATTCAAAGACACCCCAAAATTACAGTGAAAAAATGATGCGGCAGGCTAGTCCACTTTGCTGAAAATTCATTGCAGCAACTCAAAATGGTATTCAGTAATTTGTATGGCCCCTACGTGCGTGTATGCATGCCTGACAACGTCGGGGCATGCTCCTAATGACACGACGGATGGCGTCCTGGGGTATATCCTCCCAGATCTTGACCAGGACATCACTGAGCTCCTGGACAGTCTGAGGTGCAACCTGGCGGCGTCACATGGATGGAAACATAATGTCCCAGAGGTGTTCTATTGGATTTAGGTCAGGCGAGCGTGTGGGCCAATCAATGGTATCGATTCCTTCATCCTCCAGGAACTGCCTGCATACTCTCGCCACATCAGGCTGGGCATTGTCGTGCACCAGGAGGAACCCAAGACCCACTGCACCAGCATAGGGTCTGACAATGGGTGCAAGGATTTCATCCCGTTACCTAATGGCAGTCAGGGTGCCGTTGTCTAGCCTGTATAGGTCTGTGCGTCCCTCCATGGATATGCCTCCCCAGACCATCACTGACCTACCACCAAACCGCTCATGCTGAACGATGTTACAGGCAGCATAACGTTCACCACGGCTTCTCCAGACCCTTTCACGTCTGTCATATGTGCTCAGGGTGAACCTGCTCTCATCAGGGCGCCAGTGGCTGATTTGCCTATCCCGGTGTTCTGTGGCAAATGCCAATCGAGCTCCACGGTGCCGGGCAGTGAGCACAGGGCCCACTAGAGGACGTCGGGCCCTCAGGCCACCCTCGTGAAGTCTGTATCTGATTGTTTGGTCAGAGACATTCACACCAGTAGCCTGCTGGAGGTCATTTTGTAGGGCTCTGGCAGTGCTCCTCCTGCTCCTCCTTGCACAAAGGAGCAGATAGCGGTCCTGCTGATGGGTTGTAGACTTTCTACGGCCCTGTCCAGCTCTCCTGGAGTAATTGTCTGTCTTCTGGAATCTCCTCCATGCTCTTGAGATTGTGTTGGGAGACACAGCAAACCTTCTGGCAATGGCACGTATTGATGCCATCCTGGAGGAGTTGGACTACCATTGTTCTGGAAGCTTCCTATGTTCCAACAAAGGAACACAGGGAACGCTTCAAACTGATGGGAACTGGGAGAGCAGCGCTGAAATAAATGGGATGATTTTTGAGAAGCTATCATGTTTGGTCAGAGAGGCTATGCACATGATGACATCACTGGAAGAACACCATATTAGCATCAGTAGCCTTAGCTTCTGACCATCAGTAAGTTCAGCTGAGTGAGACGTCACTGGTCTGGTCCAGTTAGAGTCAGTCCTGGAGCGCCTACTGCTTCCCACCTGCTGAGTTCCACTGATGGTTGATTAACAGGATGTTGCTGAACTACAATCATCAGAATCAGCTGAGAAACATGGAGAACTTGCAGGACAGCGACTCTCCAGAACCAACTTTGGACGTACCTGACCAAGATGAACCTTAAACCCCCCCTGCCCAGAAACACCTGGTTATTTTCTCTGGACCTCAGGACTCGCTGCCCTGTTCAGACTAGTAATGTACTCCTAAATCTTAAGCATCCATCTACTCTACCTTCACCGCTGGACTCCAATATGCCCTGGAAGGCCTTCCCATAATCATAGCCACGCAGCCGCAGCTCTTTGTAGACGTCATGTGACTTTAGTTTAATATTGGAGTCATTCGCGTTTTCCTCTTGCTGATTCAAAGCGATTTGGAGTGACTGAAGATCGTTGTCCTCAGTGATGCTAACTTTACCTGAAATAAAAGTGAAACACAAAGTTTAACACCCTGATTTTCCGCATTTGCTGAATACATGAAAGCTGATAAAAAGAAGTTCTTACCGCTAACAACCAGGTTTCCATTCTCTGACACCTCAAACCTGCTGGTGGCGGGCATCAGGTGCACCTCTAACTGAACAGAGCCTGAAATGAGCAGATTTAGGAAGATGTTGGGCTTTTCCATCATAACTGAAACAAATGCATATGAAAATCAAACATTTTCTGCATAAAAGCAGAGCACCAAGTATTTCCAGGCACTAAATAGTGCAAGGTGCCGCAAGAATGGATGGCTCTTGATATAAAACAATAGAACATCAATTTATTTTCATTTCTGGCCACATGAAAGGAATTCCCGGGAGCTGAGCCAGCCCTGCACGTCCCAACCCAACACTGAGGCATTTCATCCAGCAGGGGGCACTAATGAAGACCTGCTGTGCTGGCATCAGTGTCCTCTATGGAGGAAAGTTGGAGCTGAGAGGAAGCAGTTGGATAAGCCCCGTTAGGCTGCACCCTAGGTGCTCTAAGACGCATTACGGCAGATCCTTCCCAGAGCAGCTGTTGGACTTTACAACCATAACTGCCGCAGTGACCTGCGTAAATGTCCTGGTTGCTGAGGTGTCCTTTCTCTTCCTGTAAAAGGTCTGTACTTGTTTGGATACTTTCTAAGAACCCTATTCTTAACATCCTACCTACAAAATAAAAACCAGCATATCCAGGTTCAGATCCAATTGGTTCGGTTTTGCCATCTTTACAGCCATAATGGATTTTTTTGAACCAGATCCTTTGTTTGGACCAGATGCATTTTCCCCCTAAAACCTCAGAGAGACAGAGGCAGACCTTCTCTCCTTGCTGGTGTTGTTCACCTGCTCTACTCACCGTTACCTTGCTTCTTTATTTTACTAACTGGCTGCACTGGAGCCCCATTCGCAGTTATAAAGCAGCGTAATGATGCCTAGATGATCACTGAGAGAGAATCCTGACCAAAGGTGTCCTTCTGAGCCCTGCTGCTCTCACCTGTTTTTGGGAGGATGGTGGCCCTGTGAATCTTCACATCATCAAATCTCACAGGGGTGCTTTCCATCACAATCCCCTGACTCCTGACCAAGGTGCGCCAGGCCAGCAGCAGGTAGCCCGTTGCTGGGTAGAGAAAGCGGCCGTCGATGCAGTGCTCGATCAGGTAGTTGTCCGGGGACTCCGGGTTTATCTCTGTTACAATCAGAGGGATGACAGGGAAGCAAAGGAGTCAATACTGGAGGGAGACATTCAGACCACATGCTGGGAATCTGAACTTTTTGTTTTATACCAATATTATAGATGGCAGCAGATTTAGATCCTCCTGAGCTGTGGGAGAAATGTTCTACTTTGGGGACATCCCAGGTCTGACTGTGGTCCCAGCCAATCATGGGAGAGATCATGGGGGTGCCGACCGGGACAGGGTAGCTCACTGCTGGGTACAGACCAGCAGAATCCAGGTTGATCCTAAAGGGGTTTAAATTACTGTTAATAAAATCAGCTTAGCCTGTTAGCATCGTGACTAAGGAGCAGAGAGGAGCTCACTCACCCGTTCATGTAGAGTTTTCCAATGTTTGAGAGGAAGAACTGGAGGTTGTTGGTGTGTCCTCTCTTCATCAAAGGAAGGATTGAGCAGGATTGCTTCAGGCTGCGCTTCAGGATGGCCTGAGGAGGAAACATCAGTCTGAATGTTTGCTGATCTTTAGTTCATCACGTGTCTAATGGCAGCGATGGGACAAACAACTAGAATAGAACAGAGGTTCTCAGAAACCTTTCTAACATGACTGACCTTATAAAAATGGACAGATTAAGACGGATCCTGCTGCTAAAGGAGAACTTGTATAAATAAAGGTTTAAACGCTGATAAATGTGCTGCCTTCCACAAACAAGAGGTGATCTGATTAGTTTAATGAGGATTAACCCAAAACACTCCACCATGTTCATTAGAGGGCCCTCAGAACCCTGAGTGGACCAAAACTCAGGGGGGACAGACACTCGCTCTGAGACACAGAGACACTGGCTCTGAGACACAGTGACACTGGCTCTGAGACACAGAGACACTG